CATCTGGGCTAGCTTCACTCATTAAGCCTGGCGGTTTTCTGCATTGCTTTACCATCATGACCTTTGCCATTTAGGGTTGCTACATTTGTGTTTTTGTATGGTTAGGAGCCACACAAAATAGCGTGTATTTGTATGTGTAGGATGAGTGATAAACAAATGCACGGACACGGAGTGACACTTCCAGGCAATCCGGATTGGGGATGTACCTGGGAGACCAACACAAAGAGTGCCCTCCAATGTCTATCTGTGTGTCTTCCTTGAAGTCCTAAAGCTGCCATCCCCTTGCCCTCATCCCACCCCCTCATTTCTCATGCCCACAATTTATGCATTTAAATGTTAAGGATTTAATGCCAACCCCCCCCCCTCCACACACACACACACACACACACACTCACACAAACACACACACATTCACTCTGCCTGCCACTAAAAAAAATCTGACAAAACAAAGCATGGTGGACAATTTATTCAATACATGAAATGCTCACTCATGAAGGATCTGGCAGAGGAACTCAGGTTCCTCAGGAACTCAGGTGTGCGGGACTTGGGTCGTAAATCTCCAAGCCTGCTTGGATTGGGACTGGCCTCCTCCATCCAGATCCCCCATATTCCAGTATGTAGGCGTTACACCCACCAACTACCCCCAGTGCTGTGTAATCCCATCAACGGCCAAGACCCAGAGACTATAAAACCCTGCTCCTGGAAGCACATGGCCGCATTTGTGGCCGCACAACATCTTATTATCTAGTTCTTACTCTGGAGAATCTGGCAGGCTACCAAAAGTATTCTGCCCACACGGCAGAGTCTGGCAAACTCCCCGTGGCATATTCAATATGCCCAAAACCAGTAACAATGATGCGTCTCATTCTCCTGACCCCAAAAGAGCCTTGAATGTGGCACTTCTTAAAATCTCAGGGCTAGGACAAAGGAGACGTTACTGGGGCCTGCTCGAGGCAATCGATGAACAACAGGATGACAGTGATACAGTGATGAAATCAATAACTAATTTAGCACTTTCCCGATCAATATTTATAAACATTGATCTATAACTTAAGCATAGCATTAAGAGAACAAACATAATTCAACATTGCTTCTCAGAGGCAAAGAGAAAACTCAGAGAACCAAGCTGGATGTAGAGGGCATGGGAGGTTACATTCCCCTGCCTTTAATGCTGTCAGTTTTTGTACAGCTGGCAAAACCCATGTCACAAATGTCTTGGGGCAGGATTAAACTAGACCACTTAAGCTGTTTTCTCTTTACCAACCCTAGACTGACTTCAGCTCTGTTTTTTTAATTATTTTTATAAACTTGTTCACAATAATGCATTACATTTAATATTTGAACCTCAACGCCACCACCATTACACCTTCCCACCACCATATTTAGAATGTTTCCACCCTGAACCCCAAATCCTGTCCCCAAAGCAGAACTCAATTTATTCTGTATTACCTGTTATGAATAATCCGCTAAAAATGACCCAAAAAAGTTTCCTTAGAGGAAAGTGTGTGAAGGTTGTTGTACTTCACCCTGGAGCCATTAAGCCCTTCTATGAGATTACTAACATGTTTTAAAGGTTGAGCCGTGTGTGCGTGTGTGTGTGTGTGTGTGTGTGTGTGTGTGTGTGTGTATTCCTTTAAACCCCATCAAATGTGGTGTGTTCTACTCTTGGTACAGCGGGGGTATAAAGTATGATATGCCGTGCTCCAGGAATTCCAAAATTTAAAATACAGCAGATTCACTCCTGGGTGACGCTCCTCCTAGCCTGTGGAGAATGGTTGTGAGCATGGTGGCAATTGAGTTCTGGACGGTTTTGGCTGCTGGGGCTCTATTGGAGCTGGGAGGGAGGCTCATCTGGTCTCCCGGGTGCCCCTGATAAGACAGCCTGGCGTGCGGTCTGGAGGCATCCCTGCGGCGTGTCGTTTCCTTCCGAGAACTTTATTTCTGACCTCAGCTCTTGACCCTCATTAGTTCTGAGCATTTGCCTAGTTGGGCAAGAATCCCTAATTTCTCACTTCCAAAACATAGGTTTTGCTTTATCTTCCTTTGCCTGTCCTTTGGCCACACACCAGATGGTGCTGTGTCACTCCTGTGGTGCCTGGGGGACCACATGGTCGCAAGGGATCCAACCTTGCTCCCCCACATGCAAAGCACTGGCTTAACCCTTTGTGCTCTGAGCTGTCTCTTGCCCCTGCCTGCTCAGTGGCGGGAAGAGAATATGAGCGGATAACGGGGACTTCCCAGGTTGGCCCTCACCAGTTGCCTATTAGCAGGCCCAGCTGCATCCTTTGATTTAACCATGCCATGGGGATGCGTGTCTTTTCTAACCCTGACCTCCCTCTCCCCTAAACTCCATAACTGGATTTCACAACACACCTGCTATAACAGCTACAAATTTACATACAGACAACTGATCATCCTTTGCAGCCAGCCTCCACCCCCTCTGTCTTTGCTAGACCCCATATCCTAAAGTTCTCATTGCCGCTGCTTCTATGGTCCCCTTTTCTCTCTGGAATGAGCTCCTGTAACAACCTGACCACAGCTTTCCTTGCCGGAAACTGCAGCAGAGTCTGGGGAGATGGCAGAGGCTGGAGCCCTTAGTGGGATCCTGAGCATTGCAAGAGACCCTGAACACTCGAGGGAGGGACACCTTCCCACACTGCTCTACTTGGGTGTGGCCCCTACATGGAGCCAACTGTCTTGGCTACAGTGAGGTCCCAGCTCCTCATCCTGGCTTGCTGTTCTCTAGTAACCCAGTTTCCACTCACCATTTGGGCATTCATGACATCAGCAACATAAACATGCCTTACCTGGGGGCTTATTCTCAGTGTTTGGGTGAGGTCAGCCCACCAGGAGCAAGCTCATCTTCCTGCTTCCAGGCTCACCAGGGGAAGGGATTCTAGTCTCTATAGTTCTATCCAAATGGACACACGCTGAATTTCACTTACACGGTTCTGACTACCTGTCCTCTTGGGCTCTCCAACCTCATGTGCCCTGGGAAGAATCACACATTGCAACGGTCTCTGCATAGGTCATCCCTTCTACTTCCCAGAGGAAACTGCACCACCCTCAGCATCCACTACTATAATGGCAGCACTGAGTCTGGGAGGGGGCACCTTTGAGACAGGGTTACCACCCTTCCCAGCCACCTACACTTGCTCCCCTGCCCTTTCAGTTGAACCTAACCAGTTTGGGAAATAAGTGTTTGGATCAGGAACTAGCTGCTTGGCAGCTGTTGGAGGGATGTTTTCTGATTCACAGCAAACAATGGGCTATTTACTTAGCATTTCTGAGCTGTTGCTTAATGAAGGAAATTCTCACTACTCTGCCCACAAAAGGGGTACAGAACCCCTGATGACACCTGGCCCTTCTGCAGGCCAGCAGCTTGGAAGAGAAGGCATAGACCAGCACATACTGGACACTGGTACTCCCCTGCAATAAAAGCTGTTGCTACACAGATGAATTGGGAGTCCCCTCCTTCTGCAACCCAGCCAGGAGCTGGCTGTTTGATCCCTCCCATTCTCTGTCCTGCTACTCTGTATTCCACGAACAGCGAAAACAGAAGGGAACTGACTACAGGTCTTGGGCATTTCAGTGATATATTGGTGTAACTATGTATATCAAAATCACAAGTCAACACAAGTGTCAGCATGTGACTCAAACTACAATAAGTGAACTGCTAAACAAAGTTTGCCTTGAATGTGGGTGAGAAGGAACTTTGAACCCTTAGTGAAGGAACTCTGATACTGGTGGTGGGTTTGCAGGTACAATGTTGAATGCCCAAAATTGCTACTAACAATGTTAAAACAATAAAAGGACTGCAAAAGTCATCAGCCTGTCACTTAGTGTTCTGTGTAATGATGTTCTTGCAAATCATGTGGCCTCTCTGTCGCCCTCAAAGCATTATTTCTTCCATACGATCCCCTAATTTGTTCTAGCACACCGCATGCTGTTGCTAAAGAGGTCCAGGATGGAAATTATTATTTCCAGGCCAGAAATAATCCTCCTGGCATTCTTTCCATTAAAAACAGGTACTATTAGAACAAGTTTGGTAAATAATTTTAATACACAGATACAAAACAGGTATAGATTCACAGCATTTACAAAACAATCATGTCAAATAACATCGTGAATAAGTTTTGTACAAAAACATCATTCAACAAAAATACACAACAAGTTACAGTGATCTTGGACAACATACTTTGCTAACAAGTCACTCATCACTTTGGAAATTGTTACTTGACTTCATTGGTAATATCACCTTCATGTAAAAGGAAAAGGTTCCCAAAAGACTTGCCATGAAGGTAAGTCAAACATACCATGCTAATATTTACAAAACTTCAATTTTTAAGTTACAGAATCAGAGACAAGTTAATGCTTATGAAATAACTGATAGTAATATTAGGCATACTGTAGCTAAGGATATTTGTAGCAAATATTTTTTTTAAAGATGAGATGGCTTCTACCCTTTTTTTTCCCCCAAAATATTTTTGAACTCCACTTAGATTTCATCCATGCTGAGAACTGTAGCTTTTCCACCATACCCACTTTTAACAAGGGAACATTTGTAGGATAGGACTGATTATAAAGACCAGTGTTTTGTGTTATTTCAGCAAATGGACCCAGGTGATTTGTGCCCAGCAACCCTGGCCTGCAGGTCATTGAAAACACATTTTATTTACATGTGCTGGCATGGTCCAATGAGAAATACATCTATAATTTCTCTCCCTGACAAAATAATAAACCAATGTTATCCATAGCCCCAGGAAATCCGGTTTTTCTATTCTGACTAGGTACCTAAGCTGATTTGTACTGAGGAATATCAATCTTTAGGCATGTAAAGATTTCCAACATAAATTGCTGGAACATGGCATTTAGAGAAGATTTCTATCATAAACCAAATTTTTTTTTTTTTTTTTTTTTTTGCTTTTTGGATCACACCTGCGCGATGCTCAGGAGTTACTCCTGGCTCATGCACTCAGGAATCACTCCTGACGGTGCTCGGGGGACCATATGGGATGCTGGGAATCGAACCTGTATCGGCCATGTTGGCTGCATGCAAGGCAAACGCCCTACCTGCTGTGCTATCGCTCCAGCCCCCATAAACCAAATTTTGAATTACATGTACTTCTCCTTCTTGACAGCAGCAATTTAGGTTTAAGGGGATTTTCTGAACTGACATGGTGCTACATTTTTGTCTGCATTAGGTATAAAAAAGCACAATTCTGTTCAGAGACTGTGAAAATGATCCTGAAACGTTTTCATTTATAATCAAAGGGGCCAGCGATGGCTCAATGGACTGAATACCTGCTTTCAATGAAGGAGGCCTGGGTTTTGTCCTCAGCACTCTGTGGTTCCAGGAGCACCACTGGGAGTAACCCCCAAGCACTGCTGGGTGTGACACCAAAAACCCCAATTACACTAGGATCCTGGGGTGGGGGGGAATCAGGTCTACTGAAAACAAACTATGCAGATGGTAGTCTATAAAAACCCTGGCAAGTTGCTGATACCTGTTCTCTATTTCGTAGGCCAGGGACAAGTGTGTATGTGTGTGCATGTGTGTGTGTGGGGGGGGTATATTTCTCCAGGACTTTATAAATATTCTGCTATAATTGTTTAAAATCTTTGACAAGGTTGCTACACCTTTTAGATATGATTAAAATTGAGGTTGCTTAAGCAAAGGCCACTTTAACTCTCTTTGTTGTACAGCGTTTGAGTCAACAAATTCAGAAACATAAATGCTAAGTGAAATTCATCTAAGTGTTCCATCATCATTTTATTATTTTCAACCCATATTATACAAAGTCGGGTGAAACATGGAGGAAGACAGACAATGGGAGATTCCCAATGAAATTCATCCGTAGTCCAAACAGAAGGTTCTCAGTTTTCTCTTTTCAAATGGAATAAATGATGAAAATCAAGGCTGAAGTTTGGCAAAAAATAAAATGAGAGTTTCCAGCTGTCTATTCCATCTAGAATCTGGACACTTGGAAATTGGAATCCCGGCTAGAAACAGGACAGGCGTTCCAGGACAATCTGTCCTTCCTCCAGTGTCTTGTCCTATCTAGACACAGGAGTCTGAGCAGCAGCCCTAGTGTGGTAGCATCTGACCCAGGGCCACCACTGAGTGAGGCTGATGGGTGCGTGAATGGCCTCTCCTGCTGGGCGAAGGGAGGAGGGTAGGGAGGACTAATGGTCAGGGATCACTATTATGTATATCACAAAAGCATTTTTCCATGCCTCTTCCATGGAAGCCCTCAAAACAGTCTTGACCCAAATCGTAACTGGAAAAGTAACTTAAGAAAATGGTACTCAGTACTCTCTCAAAATAGTTCTATTTACAGAACAAATAAAAATAAAAATAAAAACGTGTTCAACATTGCTGTATATATACAAACAACTATTTAACAGAAACCCCTACAGTTGTTGGTAAGGGGGCCAAGTGAAGCATATTAAACATGGTTTTCAAATATAGACCATCTGTTGTTAGTAAAAAGGTTAGTTCTATAAAGGCAACTAAAACTGAGATGTCTATAAAAATATGGAAACACAGGCACACACAGACACACACACACACACACACACACACAGCGACAGCACCTCCTGAGATGCTTCCTGGGACACTGCCTGAGGGTCCACAAGAGCAGCCCAGGGTAGTAGGTCATGGGCTGGGCCAGCCTTCAGCCAGGTCACCTGCAAGCGAGCACAACACAACACAGAAGGACCAACAACAGGTAGGTGCGTCTCATTCATGCTCCCACAACATCCAAAGTGCTGGCGACATCTTGGTACAGGAATCACCTCCTACTGAAGTAGCTCTGGGTGGGGGCAGGGTAGAGAAAGGGCAGAGTTCACACCTGGAGGCTGACAGGCTTGTTGTCAGCACTGGTCTGTTAGAGGAGACACCTTTCCAGAGAGCCACAAGCACAGCAGTAGGCTGACCCCATGCGCCTGGCCAACCAGCTGGCCTCTTTCTGGCAGAGCTTTTCTGTTCTGGAGATACTGAGTTTTCATCATCATTTAGTGCACTCCCAGTGCAAAGACAGGAAAATCAATGGTGTAAGGGCAGTGGCCCATGCAGCCTCCCTTCAAAGCATTCTATCTTTGAGACATGGTTGGTGAAAGTCTCAATGGAAAGAAGTGGTCTCCAAACACCTGATGACAGGCTGACAACAGTTTGGCAGTACTGTTCTGGTTTTATTAAACAAGATCTGTTCCAAGCTGGAAGATGTTGGATGGCTGGACGCACTCATATTCCTAGTGGGGTGAACACAAATCCCAGCTCATAATCGGTGCAATGCCACGGAGGCTGATGACAGATTGTGGGTGTAACGTGCAAACACTCTACCATGGGGGACAGTTGGGGTTCTGTCCACTGCAAATGGACAGATGTGCCTGTTTCTCCCCACTCACCATCACTGGAGCCCTAAGGTAGAAGGACAAACAGAGCTCTCCGGGATCTGCCCATCTTCCTGACTGCTCCACCCCCTCTGGAGGGCCATTCTCTCTGTTTCCCCTTCACCTTGGGTTTTGGACCCCAACCCCAGCACTTTCGGATGAAGCCAGTGCTGCCTGCGGTGCCTGTGAGTTAGGCCATCCTCACCGTTTCCAACACCAGGCCACCTCAGCCTGCCAGCCAAGCCCCCTCCTCTCATGCTCTGAGGCCAAAGTGTACCTAGGGAGAGGCCCCTTCAGAATCTGCAGAGGGATGGTCAGCTCCCACGCAGCAGCCGGCTGGGGTCAACATGTGGTATCCAGGTGAGCACATGTCCAGGGTTCCAAGCTCCGCACCTCAGTGCAGCTTATGGAAGCTTCCTGGGAGATTCCAGATGAGCGTCTGACCTGCTCTGACCCTACCCCCTGGGCCTCTGCATGGCTGAAGCGTGGGTCTGGGTCCTCCTCTGCTCTCCATGGATTCTGAGGGTGTGTCAGCAGTGGTTGCTCTGGACTTCCAGCTCACTTCCAGTTGGGCCTAGCACACTTCCGGTTGGGCCTGGCTCACTTCCGAAAGGGGGCGAGTTTGCTCAAGCTGATCCTCAGCAATGACGGTTTCCGCCGGGGCTCGGCCAGGGCAAAAACTTGCTGCTGGGGCACGCTGGGCGGCACTGTGACGTGGCGCTGCTGCAGTGGGTGCAGGTTCTGGTGCGGTGGGGCCACTGGGCATCCCCCGTAGCCTGCACAGGAGGGAGAGAGATGAGACACAAGGTAGGTCACTTGTTAGTCAGAAAGGAAGAACCTAAAAGGGACCTAGGTGTGGAGGCCTTGGCTCATCCTCATTCCTGCTTTCCTGATGACCACTGGACACCAAGGAGCATCTGCTCAGACATCAGCCCGGCCAGACTGGCTCATTGAAGCTCTAACAGAACCATCAAGGGACGGGGCAATACAGTGAGTGACAGAGGAGTCCCTCAGCCCACAGCCATTAGGGATGGAAGCCAAAGTGGAGATGGATCAGTGAGACACAATGAATCATTTTCAATGAGACCTGGAGCCCACACTCCCTAGGCCCAAGTCTCTGCACACACTGACTGTTGTCACTGGGGAAAGGACTTGCTGTTGCTGGAGCCTTCTACCACCTTGCCCCTAAAATAGGACGGCGATGAGAACAAGAGGGCTCACACAGAGTGTGCCCAGAACAGGGCTGCTCCTGTTCCTGATGATACTAATCAAGATCTCCTTTCAGAGCAGGCATCTCAATGGCCACAGAGGCATGAAACATCTACAAACCGGCTTTTGAAGGAGCTGGGTTGCTTGCTTCAGAACCTGCCCTGCCCTTGTCCTGCCAAACAGCCTTCTCAATTCTGGAAGCCAACCGAGAGGAAATCAAATGCAAATGTGTAGCACAGGCCAACACAAGAATTACCACTCCAAAATTCTAGTGTTTGTTCCATTCAATAGTTGCCTGATAGCTAAGCCAATGACTCTTGGAAGTTTCAGACATAAACAAACCAACTCCAACTATACTTTTCAATCACCTAACACTAAAAGGAGTGAGACGAGAACAGAGAATGCAGTAGATACTGTGCTTGCCTTGCATGTGCTAATACGGTTTCAATCTCTGGTATCACATATGATCCCCCAAGCACCACCAGAAGTGATCCCTGAGCATACCAGATGTAGCCCCAAAGTCAAAATGTTGCTACCTAATGTCATCAGAAGGTGGGGGTTGGGGGTTAGGCTCTGCACAGTTAAGCAGAGGGGCAGTGGGTGATGAATCCTTCCTGGTGGGCTGGCACAGCTCACAGAAGCTCCTGTGCCTGTGCCTGCATTGGTAGCCTGGGAGAGGCAGAATTGGGCACATCTCATGCAGTGACTCCTCTGAGTGCAGAGCCTGAAAATGATCTCTCAGGATATAATATCCAATCATAGTAAAAACTATTATTTCATCCCTGGTGGGTTAGAGCAATTGTACCATCTGCTCTGTGGACTCAGCACACAGTATGCCAGCCTTTCTAAGGCTCCCCAGAGACCAGAGTGTGTGGGAAGGGCTGAGAAGTCCTGTTCTTGGTAAGTCCATCTTTCTCTTGTCAAAATCGCTACTTCCTGGAACCAAGACTGCCTTTTCAATCTTTCCTCTTCCCGAAGCAAGGACACAGCCCTCAGCTGGCAAGCAGAGTAGGACCTGAGGTTCCTGCCTTCGCTTTCTCAAAGATGCAAACCTGCTCTACCTGGACACAGGCCTGGTCATATGTGACGAAGAACCCCACCATTTCCACAGAGAATGATGCATAGAGGGATCACAAGCAAGAAAGGATGGACGATTTTTGATGCAAATCAAAACATAGATTCTAAGCTCACATTTTTTCCTGTTTTTGTTTTTGCTGTGTTGGGCCATAACCCACAGTGCTCAAGGACTAGTCTCAGCTCTGTGCTCCAGGGCTGCTCCTAGTGGTGCCTGGGTGATGGGCAGGATGGAGGGGCATATGCAGTCCCTGGGGCGGGATTTGGATCTCCTCTCTGCAAAGCATGCACTCAGATTGAATTTAATTGTATGCAAAGACAGAGCACATCCCAGACCAAATGCAATGATTTTCAACTGTCTGTAATCTTGGATCCCCCTACGTCCTTTGGGCCTCACCTGGCTATGTGCTCATGGGCCTTCTATGGTGCTGGCACTTGAACTCTGCTATCTTTCCAGCCCAAGTCTGTCATTATGAATTTCACTCACATTTCTTCCTGTCCCTTGGGGCTGACAGCCGAGGTACCAATTTCAAACACACCCCTATTTTAACAACGATTAAGGAGACAATGCTTCCCACGCTTACTTTTCGACTTGCTATGTCCAGCCTTCTGAGCATTCAACATTGCCAGTTTCTTCTGATTTTCTGAAATTTCCATTCCTGTAAATTTAGACATAGACACAACATGTCTTTAAAATAAATAAGAACATGAGAATACAATTTTCACCGCAAACCTGATAGGCCCTGAAGAATTCACCAGAACCCAAAGCAAAGCACCTCGATCCTTGGGGAGTTGGAGGAGTTCGGAAAGATGATAAAGGAGAACCTGTAAGAAGAACCACTAGGAGAGCCATGAAAGCATGCTTGAACCCAAGATGTTTTGTTTTGTTTTGTTTGAGGGCCACACTTGGCTGGGGCAGCTCGGACCCATGAGTGTCACCTGGGAACACAGGGGCCACCCTGAGGATGTGGAGGAGCTGGTGGTGCTGGGCACATAACAGGCCACATACTCTGCCCTCAGAGCTGGCTCTTCAGCCCAAACTAGGACATTTACAGAATGCTGTAACTGTGCCAAACTGTGCCTGAGGGGAAACCATACCTTGCGGTCAAATAATTCCAATTCTAACCCTCCCAATTCTAATTCTTCCAGGAGGTGACCCAGAAGGGGAGCTGTACCAACGGGGCCTCCCAAGCTCTTTCCAGGCACCCTCAGTGGAAATGGAGCTGGGCCCCGGGTCACCTGGACAGAGGTATCTGAGCAATGAGAACTGAATTTTGTGAACCAAACATGGAGAGCATGTGCCATGGGCCTCAGGTCTGCTATCCAGGCTGGGGCAGTGACTGTCTACGCAGTCTTGCAGGGAGGGGTTAAGCACAGAGGCGAGAGATGAGGTGGGCAGAGAGGAGCCGGGCACAGGGTATGAGGAGCCTCGAGGCTGGACAGAAGAATGGGAAGTGTCCTCCGTGGACAGGTGCTCCACTCACAGGAAGCCCTGAGGGCTGTTTCTCCTCTGCCTTCACAAACCTGCCCCTGGGTGGCCTCTGCCTCCAGCATCTGTGTGTCCCTGGGCCTGTCCTCCATGTCCTCAGGCCCCTGCACTGACTCCTGAGATCCACACTAGGCTGGGCTTGGAGTAGATTCACACCTGGGATCTTCTCCAAGCCCAACCTAGTCAGCACCTGCCTCCTGCCTGGCTTACAGCACAGTCGCCACATCATCTCCTGCATGTCATGCATAAATGTCTCTATTCACACCTGTGCCATGCCCAAGCTCACTGGCTTCAGGCATAGTGCACACATGCACACACGCAGGAACATACATGTACACACACAGGTAAGCACACACACAGAATTCACACATGCATACAGGTGTGCACACATACACGCAGTTACACATGCACACGAGTATTTCCTGAAAATCTTCTCTGGGGCAGAGCAGAGGAGTATTTAGATGCTGTTTATCTTGTTTCTGTATGAGAAGAAACGGGGGAAATTCAGACTAGGGCATAATTTTGGGGCCAGCACTAGATACTATGTGGCAAATAAAATTAGAACTCTCTTACCCTGTCATTTTACTTTGTTTTTGATTTGGGGGGTCACACCTGGCAGTGCTCAGGGCTTACTCCTGACTGTGTTAAGAGATCACTCCTGGCAATGCTCACTCTGTCTGTGGTGTCAGAGATCAAATCCTGGTTGGCTTCCTGCAAGGCAAGTGCCCTACCAACTATACTCTATCATCTCTGGGACATTATTTTGCATTTTAATCCTGATTATCTGCAAAAATCTGAAGTCTTCTCAGCATCAGAGAGACGTGTCTTATTGTGAGAGCAGAAGTCAGCGGAATGGCTTTCTGCATGGAGAGCACTTCTGCATTGGAAAGCAACAGTGGGGAAGGGAACTCCATGCCCTGAAGCCGAGGCATAACCCATATGCAGCCACCGCTGCCAAGCGGTTCAGAGGAGACGGCGCTGATGTCTAAATTCTACCTTATTGCACTTGTAACCCCACAAGCTTCCCTATGCCACAGCAGCAACTGTGGTCTCCACCACCTGTGAAGAGAGTGGCCTGAGGCAGCTGATCCCTTTTCAGATTCTGACACCCAAAGAACCAGCCAGAGGGAGTGAAAACAGGAGCAAGTGTAGGATGAGAGTGCAGACAGGGCAAGTCCTTGGCAGCCTCGCTGGGTACAGTCAGATAGACACACATACACACACACACACGGACATGTGCACGCACACACACATTCACATGTACACACACATACACACACACACACACACACACACACACACGGAGGAGCTGGATCTGGAGGGACCAGCAGCCCTCAGCAGCCTCACTGGGTATAGTCAGACACTCAGACACACACACACACACACACACACACACACACACACACACACACACACGGAGGGGCTGGATCTGGAGGGACCAGCAGCTTTCAAGAGCCTGAAACTCAAAGGTAAGAGGAAACTAAGCGTGCACTCCTGGGCCACTCCCGGTGGAAGTCAGGGTACCTGGCCTCTCCCAAGCAGACCACAGGCTCCAGCGCACTGAGTCATCACTCCAGCACCAGAATGGCTTTATTTTATTCTGTTTGATCTGATTGGTTTTTATGGTCACCCCAGGCAGTGCTTGCAGCCCTTATCTGGGGTCACCCCAGTGTTGTCACATGCACTGTGCATGCTTCCCTGCTGTCTATGTCTCTGGCTCCAGCATGGTTCCAATGCCACTAGACTATGTTATAAAAGTAGCCAAATGCCAGATGTCTCAATTCTTCTATGACATGGATCTTGGTGGCATCCACAGGTGGGGACAGAACCAGACAAAGCAGAAAGGTGGGTGGCCCAGGCTGTCTGACTGGAAGTGGCTGGAACCTGAGGCTGGAACAGCTGTGCCGAGACCCCACTCACCCATCTCCCGGTCTTCCTGCACCCGCCTCCGCTCGTCTTCAAAGGCCTGCAGCCACCGGGCCTTGTCCTCCAGCTTCCTGGCACAGAACAGATGTGCCTCGTCGGTGGTCCTGCTGACGAGTTTGAAGGCGTTCTTCACACTGAAGTTCCAGTCCTTGTCACGCCCATCCTCCAGGTCAACCAGCTGCATCTGGTCCATGTCAGTGCGGCCCCTGTAGTAGAGCATGTCTCGGCGCAGAACGTCCTTTTTGCATGAAACCAGCTGGTGGTCAAACAAGAAGAAGGTCCGCTGCTGGCTCTTGCCTTGCTTAGTGATCTTGGTCAGCTCTCCAGAGTGGATCAATTCTGAGCTTCGATCTAAGATATCCAGCCCCTGGAAGGAGGAGAACATGTTTTCAGATTTTTCCCATTCTGTCTCTTCCAAGTCAGGACCACTGAGAGAGGCCCCAGTATGGATTTGTTCAGCTGTTTTCCAGCTCCCCGAGACCCCTTACAAATGGGCGAAGGTGTCCACGTCCGCTCACACCCAGCTTACTGCACCCCTGTGTGTGAGCTTTTTCTTCTTTTGTTGCCACTCAATGAGAGCATGTTACAGTACTCTAGATCTGTCCTACTTATCAGAAATGTTGGCGGGAAAAAGCCTGGACTATGGAAGCCCAGGGAGAGCTGAAAGGCAGCTGACCCAGACTGTTCTGGGGGAGCAGGGTGGTGGCAGGGCCTTTCTCTGGACAGTGCATACAACCAGACTCTGGCTTATGAGCCAGGCATAAACAGTTTGAAATAACGGTTAGGTTGTCCTCCTGTTGTTCATCGATTTTGCTCGAGTGGGCCCAGTAACGTCTCCATTTTGAGACTTCCTGTTACTGTGTTTGGCATATCAAATACATCATGGGTAGCTTGCCAGGCTTTGCTGTGCGAGCGAGATACTCTTGGTAGTTTGTCGGACTCTCCAAGAGGGGTGGAGGAATCAAACCTGGCTCGGCCGGGCTGGCTGTGCACAAGGCAAACGCCCGACTGCTGTGCTATCGCTCTGGTTAGGTTGGGGTCCTAAAAACCAAAGGTAAAACGGCCAATTTATAACAAGAATGTGGTGATCTTCTGATGAGATATAACTCCAAAAGCACTGGAGATCAGAAAGAGAAGAAAAAATTCCACATTTTTGTAATATTTAGATTGGGTCTGATCCAGTGTAATATTATGGTGTTTGCTGATACTAGCTTTTGATCTGCAAGATTTTATTCTCCTTTAATTCTAGTCATACCCAACATTTTTGGAGAAAGAAAGGGAACTCAATTCCAAAAAAAATTTTATTTACTTGCGAGGGCAATCTTATGACCTACATTCTTCACATCTTTACGAAGTGTGATCTCTGAGGACTCCTCTGAGCTCTGAAAGCCACAGTCTGTAAGGTTGCTGAAATAAAAATCCATCTTCCCAACTTTTGAGTGCTACACCCCAGTTTAGACAAAAACCACTGCATCCAAACTTTCTTAATCATTTGGGAGAGTAAGACATGGCTTATGAGCTTGACGTAGGATGATGGCCCATGCTCAGTCCCAAAACCGTCTGGATGGAATCTGCTTATCCTAGTGACAGTGTGAGATTCAGTGGCTGCCAGCATGAACTCTGAGACCAGGAATCCTACTTGAGTGTGATTCTGGTTCTGACATTCTGTGTGGCCTTGGGAAAACTCAACTTTCTTTTTGCTTTTTGGGTCACACCCGGTGACTCTCAGAGGTTACTCCTGGCTCTGCACTCAGGAATTACTCCTGGTGGTGCTCGGGGGACCATACGGGATGCTGGGGATCAAACCCAGGTCTGCCACGTGCAAGGAAAATGCCCTACCCACTGTGCTATCGCTCCAGCCCCTCCTTAACTTTTCTGTACTTAACTTTCATCCTTCTTCATAGGATAGTAGAGGGAATTAAGTTCATATACATAAATGGCTCAGACAGGTACCTGGCCTGCTGTGAAGACAACAGAGGCACTAGTAATTGCCACTCGGTAACTGTCACTAGTAATTCATACCCAGGTGTCACACATTTAAGTCACACACAGGTTGTCACTGAGCCACATCCTGTCCCCTTCACTATTTCTATCAGAAAGTTGCAGGTGCATGCTGGATCATCCTGAGTCCTGCCATGCACTGCAGCTCCACTCTCTCATCAGCCTCACAACTGCCCTAGTGAACAGAGTAGGCAACAGCTTCCTTCCCAGTACTGCAGCAGCACTGTCCTCCTGTTGTTCATCAATTTGCTCAAGCGGGCCCAGTAGCATCTCCATTGCGAGACTTGTTGTTACTGTGTTTGGCATATCAAATACCTCACGGGTAGCTTGTCAGGCTTTGCCGCACCGGTGAGATACTCTCGATAGCTTGCCAGGCTCTCCGAGAGGAGCAGAGGAATTGAAGACGGTTGAACCTAGTTGGCCGCGTGCAAGGCAAATGCCCTACCCACTACATAGGTTCAAAAACTAATCTTACTTTGCTTTCTTCTGGGGCCGAATTTAGAGGTGCTAAAGTTTACTCTGGCTCATGGGGTCACTCCTGGTGGTGCTGGGGAGGGGCCACGATGGCCAAATGCAAGGCAACGGCCTTCCTTCTCTAACCACCCCAACTGCATTATGCCCAGCCCACTGAACCTGAGGTATGGGCAGTGAGGGCACAGTCCATGCTCCTCCCACACTTGGCCCACTCTGTCAATGCCCTCCACTCACCCTGGAGCTGATTTAGCTGGAGAGAGAGAGCACAGGCAATATGTCAAATAGACACTCTGTAAAGTCTCATGGCGCAGCTGGGAGGGAAAGACCAGTGAGTGCAATAGCGTGCCTCAGTATATATCTACCCTGAAAGCCCAGAGTGTCAAGTCTCAAACCACAGATGCTAGAGTGTCATCAAAGGAGACCAGGGGAGACTGGGGGTAAGGTGGGGGGAGGAACAACACTGGTGTGTGGGAGTGGATCAGGGGATTCCCACTTACCTCCCAGCCCACGATGGACACCTGCCACCGGGCTATCTTGTCTATGCTCTCCAGCTTGCGTTTGCGCTCATTGATCAGGCAGGCTACATTCTTCATGGCCTCGTATGCTGCCTTGATATTGCTGTAATCACTGCAAAGCAGGTGGATCATTTGAACATGCAATTCACAAATGAATAACACACTCCATCCCTGGTTGTGTCCTGACGGTCTAGACAAAGTGGCATTTAAGGACCAGCCATTGAGTCTTCCCTCTTGTTTGTCCATCAATAGACTACAGTCTTCAGAGGTTAAGGGAGCTGACCTAATGCAGTTTGGCATTCTCTAAAACAAGAATGTTTTCATTCATTTCCCAGAGATCACAATGAATGAAAGTAAATGCCATGAGAAATACACGTTAGTCACAGTGACAATAGATGATTTTCATGAATACATGAGAGTTAAGATTATGGATTTAATCTGCTACAGCTAGTTTTGCTTTATAAATTACTTTAATTATCTCTGACTACTTGAGAGTAATTACTTGTTCTGAGTCTCATTTTGCATGAGAGTATAGGAGAGTATAAAGTAGCAGAAATCTGATGTGGTCAGTTATGTAAAAGCTAAACTGGTGTTGACTTTATCAACAGATCTACATTTCTGTCACTTTCCATATATCACAGTCAGAAGTCTCCTGTCCCCATGTGTTTTACAAAGAAAGGCATCAGAAAAACTGAAACTGTGGTATTGATTCACACTCAGCCTAGAAGAGAGCGTGTCCACATTAGAAAGTTTTACAATTCAAGTATTGCTCAGCGTTAGTAACGTGGGGAGATGGAAAGCAGTCATCCAGTTCATGAATGACATTTCTGGTTTATCAGAGTCTCTGTCAGTTGGTGGGACTGAATCAGAGCCCTCCTGCACAGTCAGAAACAACCCCCCCACCCGAAGCAGATTCTCCTTTCAATTGACAGAAACACAACAGCCCTCTGCTCCTGGGCAGTCCTTGGGCACCTCTGCATACAGTAGAGCCTACTGTGTGCAGTCAGGCCTATTAGCTTTCAAGAGCAAAGCAGAGAAAGAGGAGTGATGCAGGCGGACTGTCAAAGTAGAGGGAGTGACCCCGGAAGTTCCCATCAGAGAAGGAAATACGCTGAATAGCTCTACCTTGGCTCACGGGGTTTCTGTGAACATCCAGAGGAGAGAGTAGACTGTTCTTAAAGTGCTTCTGTTTGTTTAGGAAATGGGCTCTTCTGTCATTCCCTTTCTAAATATTTAGAAATTATTGCTCTTAAACAAAAACCTACCGCGGCACACGTGTGCTTTTTAATCCTTTTAATCCTCTGGTTACATATTATAATAACTTTGTGACACACTCTGCACTTTGCTATTTTTCTTTCCACCACACTTTAATGATTTTTCCATCAGAAAAAAAGGGGGGAAAAACTAAGTTCTTTTCTTTTTATATTCAACGGACTTCTTTACTAACACCCTATCTAAGCTCCACTGTTCAGTCTCTTCTCCTTCTACCTTCCAACTGAATAGTGAAAAAGATTTCTTTTTCAAGCTCTGCTTCTCCCCAGAAGTTGGCGGACCAAAAAGACAGAAGAACCTGCTACTGCTCCCTGCAGGGCCAAGAACAGGCAGAAGAGATTTGGCTGCTCTGAGATGTCCAAAGCCAGAAAGGCTGTGTTTGCCTCTGTGAATGTCCTTCCAACATGAACAGCATGAGCAAGGGCAGATTCTCATCGTGCAACAGGAAGCTTTATCTGAGAGCCTGTGTCCCCACTGGCACCCAAGTGATGGACCAACTAAAGGGCATTAAGAGTTGGGTCCTGGGGCTATAGAGACAGTGAGTAGGGTGCTTGCCTTGCACGTGGCTGACCCAAGTTTGGTCCCTGGCACCCTAGATGGTCCCCAGAGCACCACCAGGAGTGATTCCTGAGTACAGAGCCATTAGTAACCCCTGACCATCTCCAGGTATGGCTCAAAAAACAAACAAGCAGAAGAAAAGAGCTAGGTCAGCTACCAGGGACTTTCTCACATTGCGGCCCATGAGCATGCACAACTCCCTGAGGCCCAAGACTATCTCCACACCACAGCGAGGCCATCTCTGTGCAGGGAGGGGAAGGATGTGCTGCAGTAGAGTAAGCTGAGGACCTTTCCTTGCAAGAGCCGAGCATTCAGCATAAGGTTAGCCCCAATAGAAAATGTAGCCCTGGAAGAATCTGGTTAGAAACCTGGTGCTGGCAGCAAGAAGGACGGGATGCAAAGGCATGTGGAGACAGAGCAAGTGGCTGAGCTGGGCAAGAGAGGCTGGGGTTGAGAAGCACTCAGCAGGCTGTGTGAGAAGAACTGGGCGCAGAAGGGTCTCTGAGGGTGTCTTCAGGCACAACCTCCACTCAGCTAGTCTTGAGATGAGACCTGGCATGCTCCTACCCCTTCTTGAGCTGCTGTGAAGAATAATGCTCTGAAGGAGAGCATGAAACAGGTGAAGAAACAGAAGAGAGAAAATGTTTCTGAAGCTACAATCACACCAGCCTGCTGATCTTAATGTTTCTAGTAATTACTTAGCACCAAGAGTGTTTGGTAAATTTGTCAAGATGTATTTTATAAATCATCACACCAAATCCTGCCATAAAGAACCTGAAGTGCTTATGACGGCCCCAAGGATGACCTGGGCCTCCTCAGGGATGCTGGGAATGGGGACATGGTGCCACACAATGTCAGGGGCCACTTGGGATTGTGCAGATATGACACTGTCTTCCCAGCAGTGTCTCTTGGCCCTGACCCGTCCATGTGCCCATCTGAGGCCCTGTCCAAGGCCCCATTTAACAGCTCCCAGCTTACTCTGCCCCTGCCCTCCCGACCCCCGTGCGCACCTGTGGTCCTGTGGCGTGTACTTGAGCAGCTCAGCCAGCTGCAGCGGGTACTTGCAGATCTTCTGCACAGGAGTCAGCAGGAAGCCATCAATGGCGATGTCAATCATTTGCTGGAGCAGGCGGCAGGCCTCAAAGAAGTGTCGGTAGCGGCCCTGCTTCATGAGGCCAGCCAGCTCGGCACAGGCGCGTGGGTGGTTGTTGCAATACTCCGAGTAGACGGCGAAGCCCTCTTGCTGTGGGGGAGAGAGCATGGACCATCAGGGAGGCAGGTGCGGTGAGAGAGGCGGCACCAGAACCAACAGAAGGGGGCGGAAATGGCCACGGGCCCGTGATGTCCATCCATGTTAGTCAGGCCTGGACAGGGATGGGGGCTGGCTCTGCTGACGGGCAGGGCCTGTGGCTGGGCAGTGGTATCTGAGGTTCTGTGTGGACCGGAGGAGACACTCAGGACGCCAAGTGGTCCCACTGCATCACCCATCCTCAGGGACTGGGGGTCAGAGCTGGGCACCTCACCCCGATCTCGGTCGCTTCCGTTCGCACCCCAGAGCCAGTTCGCCTTCCTCCTCCTGGGAGTGGCTCCCTGATCCTGGCCATTGCATCTACTGCTTGGCTTCAAGCAGTGCTCTGCTCACACCACCCTGCGCCCTGCTCCAGCCTGCTGTCTGGTTGCCATTCTCCCTTGCTCCCGGAGCAAGTTCCTCACCTGAGCATCACCCTGTGCTCAGCCTCTGTTAGTGCCACCAGGCTGTCACTCCCCATGAGCTTCAACCTGGACACACTCTCCTTCCGTCCACACCCAGCTTCTGGACAAGCTCCTGGACATACTGGGGAACGTAGCCTGCGTCCCTGGAAAGCAGGTCTTTCCAGGCCCTGTCTCCCCGCTGAGTCAGTACCTGCAGATCGGCAGATCTCCCTCCCCTCTCCGCTCCCGCTGGCCACTCCTGTCAGCCCACCCGTGCTCAGATGTGCCTGTGTCAGCAAGTCCTCTTTCCTGACCCCAGCCCAGGTCAGGCTCCGGTGAGGGGCAGCGGTGGTAGCGACCAAGGCAGGTGTCCCTGTCCTGCTCTCTAGAGCAGAGGCCATCATCAGGCCATGCCTGAGCTCACCTCCAACCTCCTTCCTTTCTAAAGGCCCTGCTAGAGAACCTTCTGCTTGGGCCACATGCGCACGTGCCAAGTCCCCTGGAGCCAGGGCAGGCCCAGTGCAACCATGTGCCCTGCACGGTCACCACGGCCTCCTTCCCGCTGCAGATCATCTCTCCTGCCCTGCGCTTCTGCCATGCTGCTGGGTCAGTGCCCAGCAAGAGTGACCCATAGAAGCAACTGCAGTCTCATGGGAAGGGGGGCGGTACCAGCTTGTCCTTCACGCCCTACTGAGGTCATGAGTTGCCCCCCACGAGCAGCTCTCTGGCATAGCCATAACACCAGAAGCACAGAAACCAATCTTGTAATTATTTGGCTCTTTGCAGAAATCCAAAATCGCAAGGCCGCTATTGCAGCCACGCGAGATTATATGATTCTCATAACAGCTATAGAAAACAAAGTATTTCACAATGCCTTTTCAGCAATTCTGATTGTTGGGGGGGGGAGGGAATTCTAAACAATAATGGTGCATCCTTTGTCGAAATAATGAATGTAATCAATGTAGAGAAGAGTTAAGTGGAAATCATCTGCCTCACAGGCATTGGGAGGGGTAGGAGCGGGGTATATCGGGGTTCTTGGTGGTGAAAAATGAGTACTTGTGTAGGGAGAGGTGTTTGATCATTGTATGACCGAGACTTAAACCTGAAATCTTAGTAACTTTTCCCACAGTGATTCAATAAATAAATATAAGAAGAATATAAATAAATAAATAAAATCATGAAAAAAAAAGTAAGGTGGAGTTCATGCCCAATTCAATCAGCTAATCAGTGGCTGAATAAATAGTAGTACTCCTACATAAAAAAAAAAAGAGTGACCCATAGAGGTGCTGGTCCTTCTCACGCCCTCACTCCTGTCACGAGACCCTGAGCACGAGGTCAGAAACACCATCACCCCCTCTGGAACCTCTTCCATGTCTGCCATACTCATGAGGCTTCGGGGGCCTCCCAGGAGGGAGTCCCAGACTCACGCCACAGGTGGGTTCACATCTGCACTGACTAAAGGGAGTCCTGGTCTCTCCGGGCTTTGCGTCCGTCTCTGTGAAATGGGGGAATGTCACCCTGACTACCACCAGGGAAGACATAAGCTCATTCACTTTGCCACAGCAATAAAGCTGAAATCAGTGTGTCCTGTGAACCAGGACCAGGCAGAATTCCAGACAAAACACCTAGCTCCACTGCATATATGTGTGAAGATTTAGGACCAGAGAGACAGCTGCAGGCAGAAGCCATGGCTCAACTTCCCGCATTACATATGGGCCACTGAGCACTGTTCGGAGTGATCCCTAAGACCTGAGTAGCCCTGAGCACCACTGAATGTGACCCCAGGATAACAATGTAATTTGGGGGGGTTTTGCTTTTTATGGCCATACCTGGCTGTACTCGGAGCTTGTGCCTAGCTCTGTGCTCAGGGAGCATCCCTGGATCTGCCACATGCAAGGCAAACACCTACCTCTGGCCCCCTAAGTGGTGCAATTTTGACAAAATGAACATGGAGGTAGTCAGGTAAGGAATAACCATATAAAACAACAGACTTCATTAACAAGGGGCAGCTCCTCCAGTCTGTGGGGAAATCGAGCAAACAAGGCACAGAGCAGTGCAGAAGGCTGCTGCTACTCTCAGAGGGACGCACAGACGCGGCAGGGGACGTACGTGCTGCAGGAAGCAGGACCCCAGTTCACTCAGATGAGGAGCCTCTTTGTTGTACTGTTTCTCGAGGTCTTTCAAGAACTTTCTCTGGAACTTGTAAATATCTTCGATGTTTCCAAAAATGGTGGTGAGCTGTGCCACTGTGAACATTCCCGTGTGCTTGCGACACTGTCGAATATAGCCCTGCAGGGAAGAAGGAAAACCTTGAGGAATATGGGAATTCACCAAAACTGTCCATGTAAAAAAACACCGATTTTAGAAGCCTAAAGTCTTGGGCTAGGCTTTAATCAGGGAAAATGAAACTCTCTGGGTCCCGGATGTCATCATCAGACTTCCAAGACTATAACCTATGCCCCAAACAGTTTCAAATCGGAAGAGTAAAGGCATGGCTGAATTTATAACCAAGAAACTGTTAATTTCCAGATCATACCCATGAAATGAGTTGTTTCACTTCAAATTTTAGAAATCAAAAATTGGCTACCATACTTTCCTAAACTTTTAGAAAAAGGAAGGAAGGGAGGAAGAAAGGAAGGCAGTCAAGTGAGCTGTCCCATCCCCAATTCCCTCTCACAGCAGGAAGACTTGTCCTGCTGAGATTGCTGTTGTCTGCCAAGCAATTCCCTTGGTGACAGGCAAGAATCAAGAAACCTGCACCCAAGGGTCTGCCAATACCAACTCCACAGATAGTGCTCACAGATCAATACCCAGGGGCCCCTCAGAGCGTGAACGGTCTGCATGCAGCAGGCTGCTGGCACTATGGTCTGGGAATTAATGAGGTAGGAAACCAGGACCAAATGAAATGACAGGTGATAACTCCTGCCAAATCAGCATCATGATGGTCAATAGTCTATGCTAACTGTATGGTAAAATAGACCTGAGTGTTTGGACAGGGTTTTATCAGAGCGATGACATGGAGAAAGATGAGCTCAGAGGGCAGGGTCAGGCAGGGCTTGAACATCAATCACGGCATGTCTCTCTCTGGTCTTGGTTTCCTTGCCTACAACATAGCAGAATGGGTCTACATGGCGTGTGCTGTACTGCCGGGGGTACTAATACCACTGAAGGGACTGCTCCAAGACAGTGTTCTGTGATAGTTAGCTATCCTTTCAATTTTATCTATTTATTTGGGATTTTTTGTTTTTGTTTTTGTTTTGGGGTTACACCCAGGGTGCTCAAGATTCCTGGCTCTGCACTCAGGAATCACACTTCTGGCAGTGCTCATGGGACCACATAAAATGTTAGGGCTCGGGGGTGGGGGCGCGACTGAAACCTCATGGGACGGCGGGGGGGGGGGGGGGCGTTCCGGCCAATCCTTCACGCCCTACCGAGGTCACCAGTTGCCCCCCATGAGCGGCTCTCCAGCACGGCCACGGCCCCAGAAGCACAAGGACTTAATGCAGAACCCAGCAGCTTGGAGCAGAAAAGCGAACAGACTATGCGTTAATCCAGGCCATCATGTCTCCCAGGAGGGGAAAGGGTGTTGCCCCATTCGCCCTCTCCTTTCTGGAAAGAAAGATGGCGGCCGCATGGGAGCCTTCTGGAGAGCAGGTCTGAGCCAGGAGTGAGGGGCCGACTAACCCCTCATGGGAAGGGGGACGTTCCGGCCCGTCCTTCACGTCCTACCGAGGTCACCAGTTGCCCCCCACGAGCGGCTCTCCGGCACGGCCATGACTCCAGAGCACAGAAACCAATCTTAATTATCTGACTCTCAGTAGAAATACTTCCAGGGTTAATAAGTAAAATAGCAGAAGTCCAAAATTAAATGAATAAGACATCATTTAATTATTGAACCCAGCTGTAGAAAGCAAATCATTTCACAATGCTTTTTCAGCATGGCTGATTGGGGGGGGGGGGGGGTAAACTCTAAATAATAATGGTGCAACTTTTATCGAAACAATGAAGCTAATCAAAGTAGATAGAGTGTTAACTAGAATTCATCTGCCCCCCAGGCATGGGGGGGTTTACTGGGGTTCTTCGTGGTGAAAAATAAGTACTGGTAAAGGGGAATGTGACTGATATTTGCATGACCGAGACCTAAACCTGAAAGCTTTGTAACTTTTCCCACAGCGATTCAATAAATAAATAAATAAAAATGTTAGGGCTCAAACCCAGGTTAGCCAGGTGCAGGTACAAGGCACAGTTCTACCCCCTATGCAATCTCTCTGGCCCCTCATTTTAATTTTATTACTCCCCCCTGATTCCTCTTTGTTGCTGCTGACACAAAGCCCTAAGCATACCAGGGTATGGGCCTGGGCTCCGCACACTTTCCCAGGGCACGGAGGCCGTGAGGTGAATGGAGGGCAGGCTGGGGTCCAGCCCTCGGTCTTGCTGCAAGCCTGGTGGCTTTAGCCACTGAGCCCTGTCTGGGCCTTAGGGTCGCTTTTATTTTCTCACGATGCTGCTTTGTAAGAAATGGCTCTTTCTCTGAGCAGGACCATTGGCACAAACCAAGCACTGAAGCCCTCACCTGCCTAACTTGTCTGGATTTGAGAATGCGGAGATGGGTCACTCCAGCACAGCAGTGATGGTCTGAAGAGCAGACAACAGTGGAATACCTCAACCAAGTCACAGAAACCAAACTCCCCAAATACCACAGCAGGGCAGAGCTCAAGGGGCTGAGTGCAGACTAAAGCATAAATGCAGAGCTGGGGAGAACCCCTGAGTACGACCCATGTGGCCCCCAAACAACCGACGGAACAAAAAGTATTGTGGGGAAAATAAAAAGTACTGCCTCGCATATTCTCATGATACTGCACAGTCAGCCCGGGTAATCACTGGGTAAAACTGACCCTTTGGGTCTGCTCTCAGTGACTCAGGGATCCTCTGTGAGTCACTGATCACACAGCCCATTGTGGCTGTTACACGCCTGTGACTCTGTGCAGTCAGTGGGCTGCTGAATGAGGCCGAGGGGCGGAGGGGACAGAGAATGAGAGAGGGAGAGAGTGTGAGGGTAAGAGGGAAAATGGGCGAGAGAGACAGGGGGAGAGACCGAGTGTGAGACATAAGGCTGAGTGAGAGTGACAGAGGGAAGGAGAGAGCGAATGAGAGGGGAGGGAGGGAGGGAGAGAGAGAGAGAGAGAGAGAGAGAGAGAGAGAGAGAGAGAGAGAGAAAGAGAGAGAATGGAAGATGGAGAGAGAGAGTGAGAGAGTGTAAAAGAGTGAGTGAGAGAGGGAGAGAGAAAAATGAGAGGCAGGGAGTAAATGAGAGAGCAAGTATGAGATGTAAGAGTGAGAGAATGAGAAAGAGTGAGGGAGAAGGAGGGGGACTGTGAGAAATAAGAGTAACAGGAGTGAGAGAATGTGAAAGAGTGAGAGGACAAGAAAATGAGAGAGGGAGTGTGAGATAAGAGGGAGACAGAAGGAGGGAGAGAATGAGAGAATGAGAGAGGGAGAAAATGGGAAGGAGAGAGAGCGTGTGAGAGAGAAGAGTAAGTGAGAGAGGGAGAATGAGAGTCAGCGTGAGAGCCTTAGCTCTCTTAAGTGAGGGCGACAGAATGAGAGATGAGAGTGAGAGTGAGACAGGGAGGAGAGACTCAGGGGGGAATGCCTGAGGAGAGGGGAGTGAGTAAGAGTATGAGGGGGCACCTGCCTCTGAAGGCCCGGCTACAGTAGCAGGTGGACCTTGTGTCTGAAGAGGAGGTCGGTGTGCGGAGAACAGGGAGGCCCAAGGCCAGGCCGGGGTCCCTGGGAAGCACGGGGCTCACCTCGCAGATGTCCCTGAGGTGCTTGATGTACACGCGCTCAGTGTTCATGATCTCCTGCACCACGTTGGCACGCATCTGCCGCTTGCTCTCAGGGTGCGTGTGGCGGGCCCTGCCACTCACCGGCTGCTCCTCGCCCTGGGAGCTGCCTGAGTGGTCCGACAGCTCCTCCTGGTTGACGCGCAGCTGCAGGGAGCAAGGGGGTTTTGGGGAGCTGCATGGGACCTAGGGCACTGCCGTCCCGTCTCCACAGCTCAGGGAGGCAGCTGGGCCCGGCCGTGTCCTCAGCCACAGAGCCACGGCCTGCCCATCCCTCAGCACAGCAGTGGGGCCAAGCACTCGCTCCCGTCTGCTCAGGGAATTATTATTTTTTTCTTTTTGGGTGTCGTCCCGCATGGCAAAGCCTGGCAAGCTACCCGTGACGTAGTTGATATGCCAAACACAGTAACAAAAAGTCTCACAATGGAGACTTTACTGGGCCCGCTTGAGCAAATCGATGAACAACGGGAGGACAGTGACTGTTCAGGGTCACATCTTAAGATGCACAGGGGTTACTCCTGGCTCTGCACTCAGGAATGACTCCTGGCAGTGCTCGGTGACCATATGGGATGCTGGGAATCGAACCCGGTTCAGCTGCGTGCAAGGCAAATAGATGCCCTCTCTGCTGTGCTATTGCTCCAGCCCCGAAATAATTTTGTTTTTTTTTCTCTTGTTTTGGTTTCTGGGCTGACCCAGCAAGGCTCAGGGGTTACTCTTGGCTCTATGCTCAGGAATCACCCCTGGCTGTGCTTGGGGACCGTGTAGGATGCCAGGAATTGAACCCGGCTTGCAAGGCAAACACTCCCTCCCTCCCTCCCGCCCTCCCTCCCTCCCTCCCTCCCCACCCACCGTCCTATGGCTCCTTCCCATTCCAAGTAATCTGATTAAAGGGATGCTCAGTGCTGACGGAAACTAGCCCTCCACCCCCAAGGGCGCCCGCCGAAAGCAGCAAGCATTGCACACTTACTCTGACGAAGCTGGCTGGGAACCAGGCCTCTTTCTCCTCATTTCGGCCCCACCACCAGTCCTTGTTGGAAGCTTCCAGAACCTGGATAACGTCTCCCGCCTTGAAGCCCAGTTCCTGGTCGTCCATGGTCACGTGGTCCCACAGGGCTTCTGCGCAGACCACGCTGCCATCACTGATCAGCTGGAATGAAGCCAAGGGCAGACTCAGGGCAGTGAGTAGGCTAAGGGGTGAGGGCGGCCTGGACACTTGGAGAGAGGCTGTTTCAGCACTCCAGAGTGAGACTTTCACAGAGTGCAGGAACACAGGGTCTGACACAGCGGGATGCCACTCGGCGGGTCACAACAGGAAACCAGGAACCCCAAACCTACTTTTTTTTTTGCTTTTTGGGTCACACCCGGTGATGCACAGGGGTTACTCCTGGCTCTGCACTCAGGAATTACTCCTGGCGGTGCTCGGAGACCATATGGGATGCTGCAGATCAAACCTGGGTTGGCTGCGTGCAAGGCAAATGCCCTACCCGCTTTGCTATTGTGCCAGACCCCCAAACCTACTTTTAAGTGTGTTAATGGGAGTCAGAGAGAGAGAGAGAGCAGGGATACAGATACATGCCTCATGTGTGCTCAACCCTGGTTAGAGCCCCACTGTCTCCGCACTGGGTCCTCTGAGCCCTGCCAGGAGTGATCCTTGAGCACAGAGCTTGGAGTAAACTCTGAGCACTGTTTAGTGTGACTTGAAAAAAAAATCCTCAAAATACAAGTCCCAAGTTTCAGACTAGTGCCAGAGGGCAGTGGAGTGGCTTGTCTCATCGGGGTCATGAGCACAGTCAGTGGGACCCAGGGGACCATGAAGTACTGTGGACAGAGCCCATCCTGCAACCAAAGCCATGCACCAGCTTTTCAACCATCTTTCCCGTCACTGGAGGAATCTCTGAGAACCATCTCCTTAAAGTGGGCTGCCAGCAGAGGCAGGAAGTCCTCTGAGCAGCAGTTAGTATCGGTTCAGGTCCAGTCCTGTCCCTTCCCACAGACAATTATTCTCAGAGTATCTGCTAGAATAAGGCCAGGCATGTCCCCTTGCATATGAGGTTTCACAGGTGCTAACACCGGGGATTGCATTTCACACGATGAAGCTCCCTTCCCAACTCTGTCTTAGCACCAATTTGTTAAAGGGTCGAGTTTTAGTTATCTAGAAACTCCAGCCACACATGTCTCCGGGAATGTCAGCATCCAGCTACAGTAAGTCTCTCTACTCTGAGTTCTGGCCTGTAGCAAACACTGAGTGAGACAGACTCTGGGTGGGAGTGGGCACTGTGTGGCTGTGGGGGGCGGGGGTGTCATGTACCTCGTTGACTGCCAGCTGTTCTCCGCCGGGTGGCAGGAATCGGGGGTTACCCTGCCGGAGGTCCTCATAGCTATCGTCCTCCTCACTGCCGTTGTCATCCACCAGGGCAGAGGACTCAGCACCTCCATCCGAGGACACTACCAAAGAGAGAGAGAAACCGCATGGCACGGTTTGAGAGACACCGACTTCCAGAACACTGCTCATGACACACAACTCGAGCACATTCTAAGGAAATAAATTTTAGAATCACTTTTTGTTTTTTCTGGACCCACAGCTGGTGGTGTTCAAGGCTTATTCCTGGAGAGGCTTGGGGAACCATACAGGTACTAAGGATCAAACCCGGGTTGCCTGCGTGCAAAGCCAGTGCTTGACCTACTGTATTCTCTTCTGACCCCAAATGAAGCTAACACTTTGACCCAGCTCAGAGTAAGAAATTAGTAAAAGGATGACTGGTCTACTGCACAAGGGATTCCAAGGCACTGATGGGGATTATTAGATTTTTAGGCAATTCCACATTACACTATCTCCAAATATGTATTTTCCTTCCAAGCAGAAGCCACGTGGCACTCAGGAGAGAAGGGCACATTCCCAGGAGTGCTGCCAACACCATCCAGTGTCATTTTGTGAGCTGGATGGACTCTCTAAACTGGGCAAAGCAGTGCTCCAGAGAAGACATCAAAAACATAAACACAGATAACAATGGTTCTTATCAAGGTAACCATTGTGAAAAAAATTTTTTAAATCATTTTTACAAGTGTCCTGCTTCTAGTTAGTGTCACCAGATAGTGTAAGAGTCAAAGGTCCCAGCAGCCTCTCAAGGCACCTGTGGTCCCTCGAGTTGCTGGAGCTCACAGCAAGGCACCGAGCACAGAAACTGAGAGGCCCTTTGGGGGCGTGCCTGCAGAATTTTTGCACAGACCTCCTCGTAATGCAGAACCTCTCCTGGCACAATGCCATGCTCCCACCGGGTCTGCGGCTGAACTGAGGGCATCTTAGAAAGAGAATGTCCATGTGAGAGGACCCGCGAGGCTTCCTGAAGAGTTGCAGAGAGCTGGGATGGAAACAGATGCAGCCACTCGGTGCAGCACTGAGACTCACACAGCAGCACTTGGAGGAAAGGATTAGAGTGGGGTGGATGGGCTGGTGGGTGCCCTAACAGGAGGCCCTCAAAAGCACTGGGGCTGCTGTGTCTGGTTCTGAGGATAGAGTGTAGCGTGACCAGGAGTCCAGCATCCTAGAAAGAGACCCACCCTGAAATCCTGGACCAGGCCTCTGTGCTGGGGCCTCTTCCACAGGTCAGCAGCACTCGGAGCCACCTGGAGGACAGGCCTAGGGCAGTCAGGAAGCCTGTGAGAGGCTGGGAGAAAGCTCCTCACACCCTGCCAGTGCCTTCCAGAGGTTTAGAGCACCGTGAATGGCCCAGGGACAGTGCAGATGAGCTGTGTGCACATGTGTATGTTTGAGGTTGTGTGTGCATAGCAGGGCATGCACATGGGAAGGGGTTCAGGCCCCTCTCTTGGGGGTCTCCTCTGAGAGCAGGGAGGGCACTGCAGTGTGAGTGGGTCAGGGTACAGTTCGGCTGTCCTGCCTAGGAAGATGCCAGGCCTGTGTTTGTGGAAAGCCTAGTGATGGGGTGGGGGTGGGTTGACTTCTGCAACTGAAGGGACTTGCAGGTTCCACCACGATGCCCCCTGGGCACAGCACCTTTCTATTTCTCATTTCTCCTGTCCCCACATTGACTTCCCTTGTGATCCAAGAGTGTCTCCATGAGGCTGGACAGCGTCTATTTCTGTGTGCCAGTATCTAGCCCGGGTGATGCCTGGCACAGAGACACTCAGTATCTGTTTCTAACTGAACTACCAAGTGCCAACAGGGCAGTGAGGCTCAGAGAAGCGTCGCTGTTTCATGGCTACACAGGTGGGGCTGGAGGCGTAAGACAACCCCAGGTCTTCCTGTTGTCCCAGGACTTGGGAGAAGAATCTTTCAGCAAGTCTCTGTGCTCCCATCTGTAGGGCAGTGCTCCATGCCACTATATGTTACGCAAAGGCAGCTTCTCGTCAATAACAATTTCAGCATTTTCATAAGAAGTGACACCAGTGATCTACCGTGTCACACAGGTACCAAGGCTGCCGGAAGCAGATGGTGCATTTCTGAGACTGGCATTGTCTCTCCTGATGGGTGACCTGACCTCTCCAACTCTGCTCAGGAGCAGGCCCGTCAGCTCGGGCCAATGGCAGATCCTTCAAAATCACCACAGACTTCTTGGACTTCCGATCTTCAACTAAACATTAAGTTTAGTAACAGGGTCTTTTGATGGAGACATTTTCAGAAATGTCACAACCCCAGTGCAAACTCTCAAAGTGGAATCCATCACTGTTACAAGGGATGAACATCTAGTCATAAAAAAGTGAACCAAATTTCTTTCTTGATAAAAACCAAAGACTGAAAAACAAGGATTCAGCATGGACCTTGGGAATATTAAGGATATTCACCTTGTATAACAGAGCTCCAGAACTTTCCTTCTTGCAAAACACACTCTACCCACAGAACACTGATTCTAATTATGTGCCCCTTCCATCTTTGCAGACATTCTTTCTGTTTGAGGGCCACACCTGAAGGTGCTAAGGCCTTAACTCGTGGCTCTGTGCTCAGAGAGCACTCTAAATGGTGCTCAGGGTGGCAGGCATGAAATCTGGGTCAGTCATGTGCAAGGCAAGCACCCTACCTGCTGTATTGCTCCAGCCCTACCACATTTTTTTATTTTAAATTTTATTTTTATAAAGTTGTTCACAGTAATTTATTACATTTAACATTCAAACACCAATCTCACCACCATTGCATCTTCCCACCACCATCATGATCACGATCATCCTATTGTTCGTCGATTGCCTCAAGCAGGCACCAGTAACGTCTCCTTCGTACTACCCCTGAGATTTTTAAAAAGTGCCATATTCAAGGCTCCTTCAGGGTTAGGAGAACGAGACCTATCATTGTTACTGGTATTTGGCATATTGGGTACGCCATGGGGAGTTTGCCAGACTCTGCCCACTAGCATATTTTTAAAAAAATTTTTATTAGTGAGACACCATGAGGTACAGTTGTAGACTTACAAATTTTTGTGCTTGGGTTTCAGTTATACAATGATCAAGTACCCATCCCTCCACCAGTGCCCATTTCCCACCACCACTGATCCCAGTATCCCTCCCTCCCCCCATCCCCCCCATCCCACCTTGCCTCTGTGGCAGGGCATTCCCCTCTGTTCTTTCTCTCCTTTTGGGTGTTGTGGTTTGCAAAAGAGGCAATGGGTGGCAATCATGTTTGGTCTATAGTCTACTTTCAGCATGCTTCTCCCATCCTGAGAGGATCCTCCCAACACCATTTATTTCCACCACCATATTTCTAATGTTTCCACCCCAAATCCCAAATTGTGCCTTCCAAAGTGAACTGAAACAATTAATTTTGTATTGCTTGCTATGAATAATCTGCTAAAAATGGTCCAATAAAGTTCCCTTAGAGGAAAGTGTATAAAGATTGCTGAATTTCATCCTGGAGCCATTTAGCCCTCGTATAAGAGATTACAAACATGTTTGTTAAACCCAGTCAAGCGTTGTGTGCTACTCTTGGCACATCAGTAGTGTAGAGTATTAGAGGTCGCACCAGGAATTCTAAAATTTAGAATACAATTATACAGCAGACTCACTCATGGGTCAGGCCTATGTTGCTCTCTTCCAAGAGCTTTATTTCTGAGTCTCTAGATCTTGGCTGTTGATGAGATTACAAGGCGCCAGGGGCAGTTTGTGGGTGTGACTGCCAAGCTACTGGTAACCTTGGAAGATGGGGAGGAGGCCCATTCCTGCTCCAAGTGAGCTTGGAGATTTCAGTCATGGGTCCTGCATACGTGGGCCTACCACATTTTCTTTATCTATGCACCTGCAGATGGAAATGTAGGCTGTTTCTACCTCCTGGCTACTGTGAATGTGGGTATGAATCTGATGTTTTTTTCTTTTGCATCTATAGCCTGAAAAAGAATTGCTGGCTTATACGGTCATTCTAACTTTTTTGAACAAGCTTCCATAGTTTCTCACCTGTGTGGAAGGATTCGAATTTCTCCACACCCTCAAATCACATGATCTTTATTTAATGTGCATGGAAAGAACAACTTTGAGAATAAACTTGGGAGTATGGCACAAAGACTGCTGGCAAACTGCAATGATTTTGAAAACCCTAAACTCCTAGCAAAAGAAGATCAATCAAGCCTCCTCAAAGCTTCATCCAGGTTGAGTGACGTTTTTTGAGCTCTGCACACAAGGGCTAGCGACCATCCTGACAGAGGTATCACAAGTGCAACGTCTCCCAATGCAGAGGAAACATATTGACTGCAACCTCTTTGTTCAATCATCACAGCATTAAATCCTTCTGGAGTGGCCCCTGGGCACTGGATGTACCCACTTTTCTGCCCTGGCACTGTTGTCCCTATACAGTCAGAGGTGAGGGTGGTGCTCACACCCCCCCTTCCTTGCTGGGGGAACAGACAATTCTTCTGCAGCTCCATCCCCAGGGGTGTGGCAAGTTCCAGCACCACTGTTCAGGTTTGGTCAAATAGGTCTCCACAAAGATGCTATCATTTAAGTCAAAGAGAATAAGTCATTTTGGTTTTGATTTGGGGGTTTTGGTTGTTGTTTTAGGGCCAAATCCAGCAGTGCTCAGGGCTTACTCCTGGCTCTGCATCAGTGATCACTCCTGGCAGTGCTCTGGGGATCAACTGGGATGCCAGGGATCAAACCTGGGTCAGCTGCACCTTACCTGCTGTACTATTAATCCAGCCCCAAACAAGTAATTTTTAAAGGGTGTGCTTTAACAGCTTCCATGCACCTCAGAAAAGCAACCAACCTTTCTGATCCTGGATCTCACCTCTGCAAAAACCAGCACTCTGATCACTGGTTTTAAAGATGGCTTATCTGACAGGAAATATCAAAGGGCACCAGAATGGAAACTTATTTTCTAACACATGCTGAAGCATGAAGACTTCCTGGAGAAACTTGATCTATGCTCAGAGGGGGCAGGCCCAGCATGTAGCCTGCTGGGAATCCGGCTCAGATCATGCAAGTCTTTTTCTCGTTTGGTTTAACACAGTGAA